ATCTAAAGACTCATGGACAGAGAATACAGACTTGTGGTTACCAGGGGGGTAGAGGGTGGGAAGGGATAGACTGGGATTTCAAAATTGTAGAATAGATAAACAAGATTACACTGTATAGCACAGGGAAATATACACAAAATGTAATGATAAATCACAGAGAAAAAAATGTGACAATGAGTGTGTATATGTCCATGAATGACTGAAAAATTGTGCTGAACACTGGAATTTGACACAACATTGTAAAGTGATTATAAATCAATAAAAAAAAAACTGTTAATAAAACTAAAAAAAAATTTCTTAGGTCCGTTCTAAGAATTAAATGAGATAATGTATATAAAGCACCTAGCATGGTGGCTAGCATTAATTAAGCACTCAATAAATGGCTATGTTAATTCTCATAGAAAAAAAGGATCTGAAATAATGCTGAAATACGATCAAGTGACTCAAAAACTTATTAGAGATGTCTGTAAAGGCAGATGGATAGAATCACAGTCAAACTGGCAAATGAAGAAAGGAATCTTATCTATCCTTGTAGTTCCACATAATAGACATTCAGTAAAGGTTTACTGAAATGAAGTGAGTATGAAAGTAAGTTATCTGGGAAAGAAAAAATAAGTAGTAGTCTGAGGTTGTCTAAAAAATAGAGTCCCAAAATTACTATTCCCTAAGCAAATCACACTTTGAGAAAAGAAATAGATCCATGCATTGAAATTCCTCAGACTAGTCTTTTTAATAATGACTGAGTCACTCTCAAATCTGTTTTGGGAAATGTGTCATATATAAAGTCTAATATTAGACAGAAGTATTTTAAAATTTCATCTAAGTAAAATGTGTGCATCCTCAAAGGGGGTAAAGTACTCAAAGCATTGAGGAATCTTTCCTAACTTCCATTCAATGAGAATCAGATAAACTTCATTCACAATTTTTCCATCTGTTTATATATGAAAACTAATTAATAGTTCCATCTACTTATACATGAAAATTAGCCTGAACTTACCTACAAGTAAGTTGTAAACACACATATTTCACTTTCACAAGTTCAAATGCACACCCCAGAAAAGGAAAGAAAGAAAACCAACTCTCAAAAGTGGGCAGTACTATAGGAGTATAAAAGAGTAGCTAACATAACTTCTCTCCCATATCTCAGAAACCACCTGTTAGAGCCCACACTTGTGGCACAGCCTGCATGGTTTCGAAACACTTTCATATTGAAAACTCAAAATTCCCAGTGCAATGGGCAAGGGAAAAAGCATAATGTGTAAATACATTCCTATTTTCCCTACCCTACATCAAAGGATACTGGGGGTCAATTGCCCATCACTTCACTACAGGACTCGCTCTTTTTATTTGGAAACTGATCAATCTTACAAAAAGCAAAAGCCACACCCTTAATAATATACTCAACTCTGTGCAGTGCTTGGCTTCTGAAACAAGTCAGTAAAGTACATTTCCAGAGAGACAGCTGGAGCTACAGCTCTTGAGCCTACTTCAAACAAAATCTGTAAAGTGTGAAGTTACAAATCAAATAAAAGTCCCAAATCAATGGCTAGGAGGTTTTGAAAACAAACAAAAAATCATTATTAAGTACATCTATCTCTCTTAACAAAATGACGTTTTCAGAAAAAAAAAAAAAGCTACCAGTCTACATTAGAGTCATTTAGAGAATAACAAAGAACCCGCAACACACAGAGGAAAATTATTCTTAAATTATCATTTGCTGCCTACAGTGCCTTGAAAAGTATAAAATGCATTAAGTTTCATTAAGAGCTATTGTCTAGTCACAGACAGCACTGTAATTTTTTAAAATCTAATTTCTAGAAAATTCTGCAGTGGCAGTTTGAAAAGAAAACCAAATTTTAACAAGAAAAAAATGCCTAGTCCAAAATCTGGAAGTACACTTTGAAGATATTCACGGTTAATTTTTTTTTAAACTAAGGAGTAGTGATAGGCACAACGGTATGTGACCTCTGTAGATGGTTGATCCACATCAATTAAAAAAAAGTCTCTATGGAATTAAGGATTTAAAGTAATAACCTATCAAACATAACCTGACATGATAAAAAATCATTAATTTTTTAACCACTAACAAAGCAAAACCTTCCAACAGAAAGATTTTCACATCATACACATACACACACACACTTTGTAAATTAAGAACTAAATGTAAATTCAAAACACTAAAAATTACCTAAAGGTATCCAAAACACATTTGAAACATCATACTTTTGTTTTCACGTTAATTTCTCAGATCTACTGGTAAATCTCATCTGGAATGGATCTTCATTTCAATACAAGATTGTTCAATATGCCACTCCGAATGAATAGAGCTTGTGAGACTAATTCTCAAAATCTCCTTGGGAGATGCTTAATTACAGCTCTAATTGCAATTTCCTGAGACTCAAACAGCAACGTACACAACAGCTCATACACAGTTAGAAAAGGAGAGAAATGAAGGTCCACAGGAGCGGCCTATTCTTTTGTTTTGGTGGTAGAAGCTGCAAAAATAAAGGTTCACTAGAGCTATCTGCACCTATCCCCACCCATCACAGCCCTGCAGAGCACTTTCATCCATCCACCCGCTCAAGACTCAAGAGCCGAACCCATGGCTTTCTACGTCTCAAAGGATGGGCGGCGGAGTCTGTGAGGTCGGGGGTACAAACAGAAAAAGCGGGAGGGCACAGATCTTTTGAGGACAGCGGGACAAGGAGATGCATCCAGATGGTGAGGTTGGGGCGCGCCACGGAGACCCAAAGGCTTGAAAATTCGCTGGGAGAAAAGCTCCCATTGGGCAGATAGAGGATGTTGCCAGTTCATAGATGGAGACAGACAATCCTACACAAGAGAAGGGAAACACATTTGTAAGAGATCCGGGAAGGCGTGAACTAGGCAGCGCTAAATTCGGAGCCCAAAATGGGTTGAGATAGCTTCAAACAGACCAGCATGGCGAAGCTTAGACTTACGGTTACTTCCCGGGCTGAGGATAAGC